AAGAATATGTAGAATTCTGTCTAGATCTATGAGTATACAAAGCTTGGATATTACAGTTTGGGGAATACAATAGTGTGGTAGGATACAAAGGTAAACATTTTACAGCTGTGTGTAAAATGTGTGTATGAACATTCAGTGGATACAGTTAATTTTGCTGGTAGTTGTAATAAATAAGTTTGAAGTCATTAGCTCGTTTCTTTGAGCTTTCTAGAAGCTGTTTTTTTGTTGTTGTTGTTGTTTTGCTTCCTTTAGTAGCTAGCTGATAATACATTTGGAGAAGAAAACGGTTTTGTCATTTTTATGACTCGTTTCAATTAACAGCTGATTATTTCTGCTTCAAAATTGTATGTCACAAACCCAGAACATTTTTCTTGAGTGGCTAAAAAGCAAAGCAATGTACTAAATCACTGGGGTTAAATCCTAGATAGCAGGTATTATTGACTGCAACGCGTTTAAAAATAAAAACTAGTTTGGTGAAAGGAATGAGTAATTCAAGTTCATATTTCAAATTCTGGATTTTCCTGGATAGTGCTCTCTCCCCCTCTTCTACCTCTCTCCTCTCAACCCCACACTCCCACCAACACATAAATAAATGCATAAATGGTGAATGGTAAATACATTTCTGTGGCAAAAATTAAATGAGAAATTTCCTTCTGAAATTAAACAATCATTTTTACTAGAATGGTTTTGGTGGCAAGTTTTTACATGCTACTTAGGGTATCATACACGAACTTTTTGTTGTACATTCTGCTCCAAAATGCATGCTTTATACACATTACACGTATCATATAGATTCTGCATGTTCACAACAAATCTGGTTAGGAAAAAGAAACCACCATCATTGAAAACAGGACAAAGGAACAAGTACATACCAATTCCAGTCTATTTTGATAATTAGACATTTCATGCTGTCATTCTTCTGGGTTGGATATTGGGAGAGAATTATTACAAGCCCATGAACAAAATCATTTAGTGATTTTTTTGGTTGGCATTCAGCTTACATAGCTAAAAGACAAAAATAATTAGGGAAGCATTTTAAGGGTGTGGGTGTGTGTGTGTGTGTGTGTGTGTGTGTGTAATTCTTTTCTATTTCTAGTTAAATAGTCTTAATTTTTACTTTTTCTCGACCACTGTCAGAGACCCTTTAAAGATTCCTTTCCAGATAGATACTAATATTGGTAGAGCGCACAGTTGTTAAGATCACATTTCTATGTAGTCTGAGCATTTTTCTCAAACATAAGTAACAATGGCGCATACCAAATACATGTATTATGTGTTGGGTATGAAAGTCGTACATGAAGATCTTACTGCTTTTCCTGGGTAGTATTAGAAGGCAGGATCCTAATTCTTGCCTATTCGTTGTATATAATTGTTTAAAAAGGAAACGCAACAGTTTGAGGCGTGTGTGTCTTTTGTACATCATTGTGTCATTGTTTGGCTATCAGTGCTAAAACAAGGATACCAGAGTGAAGATAAGATGTGAGGAAATCTGAGCCTTCAGTTAAATGAAGAGTTAATGAGCAAACATTAGCACCCTGCACACAATAGACCCTATTAATGCGATGGGAAATCAGTTTTTTTTTTCAGGTTAAATATAACCTGGAGGATCAGCAGAGAGTGTGCTTCTGTTTAGATTTCTGTTTGTATCTTTCTGTGTTAACTCTTCAACAATTCTTTTTCTCCTTTATTTATATTGCACTCAAGTTTCCTTTGTACAAAAGATTTGCAGGTGCAAATATGTCCTGCCTTCATTAACTTCCCCTCCCCTTTTAAATTTATGTGATTTCAATTTTCCTTCCCTGTACTGTTAATTAGGGGACCCTCTAATCAGTACCATTATCACAGTGGTATTCATGTTTAGGAAAGCTGCTAAACAAATGCTTGCAAAATTGCTAAATGGCTAATTAATGTCTGTTAATTAAGAAAATTGCTCATGGTAACAAACCGTGCCATTGCTGGCAACAGCTAGAAGGCGAACACTTGTTGAAATTACTAACATGGCAGGTATAGAACATCTGTTCGCCTGCTCTTCCTGAAGTGTGTGTGGCTGTTTCTCCTAATGTACTTACAAATCGTATTTGCTTTCCAGATCAATTACAAATTTGTTTTTATTTGCAAGAACAAAAAAAAAAAATTAAACAAGCAACATATGTCCCTCCTAGTCTGAATTTGGATATTCAAGTTTCAGGCCTCACTCCAGAAAAGAAGTTCAAATTCTCTGAAGTGAATAATGTGTTTAATCTAACTAGTCTGGACTTGTAGCATTACTGAGCTAAAACCATAAAAACATGTCTTTCCTTCCTTCCGCGGAAATACAGTGTTTTCCCAATCAGTAGTCAAAAAAGTTTATTTGGGTCACCGAATAGCTAATCAGGGTTTGGGAACATAAGCAGAAATCTTGAAAAGGCTGTGCTGTAGTTTTGCATAGATATATGCAAGCCACTCCATTCATCATCATCATCATCCCCAAAACAACTGGAGCACCACTTGAACACCGTAGGCATTGACAAATTTGCCATCAATCAATTGCAGAAGGCAGCTTTACTTCGAACAGCTTCCATCCTGCAGCGATATCTATAATGCCATCAAACATCCAGATTTGCCTATCCCAAGTCCTTGGTAAGGACTTGATAGGTAGACAAAAATGGCAAAGCCAGTCTGAACATCTGGCTGGTTATGCAATGAATAGTAGTAGTAGTGGTGGTGATGATGATGATGTCATGAATTGATCTTGTATGGAACAACTTGTGGGAGCAAGTAGATCTATACCTGAGCTGAAAAGTGAATGTTTTAAGTGGTTTGTGTTTTTTTTTTCTGTGCAAGTGAAGGAAAGAGGTTGTAAGCTTCTGTGGAGATTGTCAATCATCCAGAATATCATGGTTCTTCCAAAGATGCTTTTTCCAAAAAATAACTGGACTTTCTTGGGGGATTTTCCCCCTTTGAAAATGTTTCGCTTCTTCTCATCCAAGAATTGAAAAAGCTTCTTGGATGAGAAGTGAAACATTTTCAAAGTGGGTGTGGGGACACAAGAAGGTCCAATTGCATTTTGGAAAAAAACACCTTCAGGACAAGAAAAGGGGTTGTTTTGTTCCAGACAGAAAGAGGGTTGGGTTGATCGGGGTGAAAGAGAATGGCAAAAAAAAAAAAAACAGCTGAGAACATTGGCCTTTAATGGGGAGGAAGGCAGTTCTGAGAAGTTTGTGGCAGGGCAAGGCTACTATGTGCCATACCAGGAGCAGCCAAAATGAGAAAAGAGGCCAGTGCAGATCAGCTTTTTCTTACTTGCTCCATCTGGATTTTGCTTTATCTGATAATCAGAACAACCAAAGCATTCCATGGTTCCTTTTTGTTAAAGCATGTCTGGCTTGAGATAGCTTGACACAATGGGCTTGTTCTCAGTTGAAACAAATGTTTTCCCTATTTGTTGGACGTCTCAATTTTGAATGTAGAGACATATTGTAAAACACCCCCGTTCATTTGCTACTGTTGCCGCAAATTTCTAGATTGGAAATACTCTGAAGCAGAAGAAATATTTAAACACCCTCTCTCTTTGTTTTTTCCCCTCCTGTGAGCTGCGTGGCAAGTGAAAATAAAATGCTAATTTACTATGACAGGATTGTGAGTGAACAAATTGTTTTGCGCATTCCTCAAATATTTAAACAAATGCATTTACCGGTGATCCAATTTTGAGGAAAAGTGAGGCTTGCATCAGTAGATACTCTTTTCAGACAGAAAATCTGTGTGGTCCGACTCTACATCACTATTCATACCATCAGAGCAAATTTGCTACATGTTGGGCTTAGGCAAAATGTCTGATTAACATAGCTTGGGAAAAACATGTTTTAATGCAGGAAGATACCAGGACAGACTTGGTAGGACAGGCATGCATTTCTGTGGTGCCATGTATGCAATTTTTAGTGAGTCTGGACAAGGGAATATTTAAAGTATTAGGAAGATACTATTTTAACTGAGATCACAGTTTGTATTTAGTAAGGTGTGGCAATAAAAATGTTTGCTCACCTTGCTACAAATTGTATGTATTTTAAGCTGTCCATGAACATTGGGTCACATTGGGCCAAGCGATAAGGCAACAGAATATTCATTAATGGTTTCTAATCCAGATATTGCAATTACCAAAGAAACCCATTCTATCCATTACTCAGAATCCTAAGAGAAATGGCTAAATAATAATGTTCATTTGTTGTTTGCTATCTGATGTCAGCATTATTAGAAGAATTTCAGTGGCATTTTCAAGAATGATGTGCAATTATGGGGACCAAAACTAAATAGTTCATTATGGCCCAAATCCTCTTCCTTTCTTTCCCTTTCTTTATAATCTAAAAGCTCTTCTGATGGGCATAGCTGTTCTTCAGTTAGTAAAACATAGAAACAAACTATTTGTTTGGTAAGGTTTATCAACTCCCTAGCTCGATACCCGTGCTTTGCTACGAAACTATGTGGTTGGGCTTAGTTTGGGGAGGGGAATTGTGCCTCTGCCTACCAGCATCCATCGGTATGCATCTGGTTAGCGTCCTGTCAGTGTGTGAGAGAGTTGAGGGCTGTTTGGAAACTGAAACAGTATTTGCTGTGTGAGGAAGGAGGAGATAGCAAGGAACCTGGGCGTGGCTTAGCAACTGTTCTGTACTAAAGCTGCTTGGTGCTCTGTAACTGAAACTCCTCTGCTTGTGTTTGGAATTTGGAACAGATTTCTTTTCAGGTGGGGAGGGGGAGTAGAAGTCCTTAGCATCAGAGCGTGTTAATAATAATATGCGAAATACTAATGCTCTGATGGTCATTTCAAAAAATCCTTTCTTAGTGAGCACCTAGAAGCCAAGAAAAACATAGGTGCCAGATTTCAAGTTTGTAGGCTTTACAGTTCTGGAGATTTTGTGATGATGCATGAGTGGGTGTTTCACTTTTATAGATATAGATATTAAGCCAATTCTTTCCTTGCATATGGATGTATCTGATCTAAAACCACCTTTTATTCAATCTAACAGGGACCGCCTGGCTCTCAGCCCTCACCACACGCACAGCCTCCACCTCATAACCCCAACAGCATGATGGGACCTCACAGTCAGGTAAAACCTTGAATCTGGTGATAGGTGTGTTGTGAGTGAAACTTTTTTAGCATGTGGGGGTGCTGCTTCTCTTCCATTAACTTCATTATATGAGGCTCCAGGATCATCTTAGTAACTTTGCAGATTTATTTCTACTCAAGCTGTCGGCCCCAAATGCTTATTTCATTCCATCTCCTTTAAGACATCTGCTTTTTTTTTGTGGGTTGAACTTGTTTTATTGATATCAGTTTAGGAAAACAGCTTTACATTTTACGGATGCTAATTTACATGCAAATATGACTTTTACTCTTTTTTTTTCTGAATATGGTTTAAGAACATGTTTTCACAACCTGTCATTGGAATATTTTAAACTCAACCCTTCTTAAGCCTCATTTTCATTTTAACAAACTCTGTAAAAAATATCCAGTACAGATGTTCTGGGTTAATTTTAACAGTTGAATCTACAACTGCCAAAGTTTAAAATATATAACACCCACGCAACGCATACACACATATCCCCAAAATTTTGAAATAAAATACTTACCAACAGGTGGTTTTCTTTTTTTAATTTAATCTGCTTTTGTATATATTTGTCAAATTATAAGTTGCATGAAATGCAGGATGTTACATTTATAATCGGGTTGGTTTAGACTACCACAAAAATAGCTAAATGAAATATGTGTATATAGTGTGTGTGAAGGAGTCATTTTTCATGTGCATGTACAAATAAGAGTGCAAAATGTTGACTTCCACTTTTAAACATTCATTGCCACTCAACTATTTTTATATGCTTACAGCCTTTTATGTCACCGAGATACGCAGGAGGCCCACGGCCCCCCATTAGAATGGGAAACCAGGTACTATATTAGCCTTACGTCCAGATAACGTTTTACAGTACTACAGGTAGTCCTTGACTTACAACCATTTGTTTAGTACAAAGTTACAAGGACACTGGGGAAAAAAAAACCTATGACCATTTTTCACACTTATGACAGCATCCCCATGGTCACGTGAATAAATTTGGACGCTTGGCAACTGGCTCATATTTATGATAATTGCAGTGGTCATGTGGTCACCTCCCAACAAGCAGAGCCAAATGGGGAAGCACTTAACGACCGTGTCATTAACTTAACAAGTGCAGTGATTCACTTAACAACTATGGCAAGAAAAGTCATACAATGGGGTAAAACTCACTTAACAACTGTCTTGCTTTAGCAGTGGAAATTTTGGGCTTCGTTGTGGTTATAAGTCAAGGACTACGTGTATTCAGGTTGAGATACATATACATAGGAGGAGAGAAACAAGCTTTGATAAAATATTTTCCTATTCTTACACTAAGCATGTTTCATTGCAGATGAAGTTTTGCTGGCAGAAATAAAATCTGTAGGTCTAAAAAAAAACCACGGAGCTTAGAATATAAAAAGAGCCAATTTTTTTATTGGATTCATGCAAACGAGATTATAAAAGAAATACAGAAAACTGCCTTGGTCACAGAAAATATTTACACTTCCAGTTTTATAGGGCTCTTTCTTTAAGATAATAACACAACAAACAGCAGTAAAATCAGTTTTAAAATTGTTCTAAGAGACTAGAGCACAAATACAGCATTTTGTTTTGCACAGGGGCTATACATTGATATGGGAATAGCTTCCTACTATTCTTTCCAAGTGACTGGTATCCAGAAGCTAGTGAAAGATTTATACAACATATACTCCGGTCATGTGCACCTTTCAAAAATGTTATGGTTATATGAACAAGCCATCTTCTAAATACATCCTTTGCATGTTTTCAAAATTAAATATTTTTAGTTACATTGAGCATGCTGAAGTTGTTTTCCTAAGATTTGTAATTTGAGCACTCTTGCTACTTAAAACAAAGGTGAGGGAAGGGGTGTTCACACAAAATGCACTTGCCAGCAGTAGTTGACATCAGAATAAAACATTTCTATTTTGTGCTGTCTGCTGTGAACATAACATGAGGTAAACTGCTTTCTTCAATGAATGTGTAATAATGAAATTAATAAACTTAGTCTTCTTTGAGAGATAGCTGTAAAAATAAATTAATATGGATATATCAAATATTTAATTGTAAATTAATCTGTTCAAATATAAATGAATTAGTTAATATAAATTGGTTAGATTTAAATAAAGGTGAATCCTGTGAAACTCTTCAACAGAGTACATAGCCAAAAATCTACTGGATTCATGCAAACGAGATTATAAAAGAAATACAGAAAACTGCCTTGGTCACAGAAAATATTTACATTTCCACTTTTATAGGACTCCTTCTTTAAGATAATTTAATTGTAAATTAATATGTTCAAATATAAATGAATTAGTGAATAAATTGGTTAGATTTAAATAAGCGTGGATCCTGTGAAACTCTTCAACGGAGCTTGCCTCTGAAAAATAAATAAGGGAGTATATGACACCATAATTTATTCAAAAGGTAAAGCTATAATTCAGAGTAGTGTACTAAGTATACTCTCTTTAGTAGAATTTTCTTTCACATTGACAAGAACCAAAATGGCCTGCAATGCAGTTATTCCTTGACTTACAACCATTAGTTTGGTGTGTCCATTCAAAGTTAAACTGCACTGAAAAAGTTGACTTATCACCAGTTTTCACACTTATAACTGTTGCATCATCCCTATGGTCACATGATCAAAATTCAGGCGTTTGGCAACTGGCATGTATTTATCACAGCTGCAGTGTCGCAGGGTCACATGATCCCAATTTGTAAGCTTCCCAGCTGCCTTCCAACAAGCAAAGTCAATGGGGGAAGCCAGATTCACTTAACCAAATGATTTACTTAGCAGTTGAAGGGATTCCCTGAAAAACTGTGGCAAAAAAGGCCATAAAAGGGGGCACAACTCACTTAACAACTGCCTTGCATAGCCACAGAAATTTGGGGCTCAGTTGCCATCATAAGTCCAGGGCAACCTATATGTGACCTTAATTCAGGCAATCGAATGCCCTTCACTTATCTTTGGACTACGATTCCCATCAGCCACAAGCAATCGAAAGGGAAGCTATATATTTCAAGACACCTGCCTATAATTGCTGACAATGCAGCAATCAAGAGTTAATCCTCTTCCGTTCATTTTATTTTTAGTTTAGTTTTATTTATTTTTTTAATCCCAAGCCTTTTGTCACTCTGTCGTGGATAAGGGAATGATACTTGTTGGCAGTGAAAAGAGACTAGACAGAGTTAAGGAAGAGAAGGCAGAGTAAAACAACTAATCGCTCCAAGGAAAATTGTGTTAGGAAGAGTAAATATACAATTTATAAAGAGCTGGCATATTAAAAAGAGAGAGGGAGGGAAATGTTTTCAATATGGTCTTCCTGCTGTTCAAAGTTGAAAATGAACTCTGCTATTTAAAAATAATTCTCTGCTTGCCTCATACAGTGGGGAAACAAATACGATAAATATATAAATACCTAAGAGACAAAGGATGGGTCTGCCTGTTCCTGTTTGAAACAGTAATAGGTATCTGCAATATTTATCAGTCATGTTCCCTTCTGGTCCAAACTCAGTTGAAAATGTTATTTATCTACGCTGAAATGTCATTTGATTCAGGGGAAATTGCAGTTAAAAATTCTAACTAGAAGGCTTCCGGATTCCCCTTAGCATATGGATAATCACACATTAGTGCTCTACAAATTGATTTTCTGGAAAGCCTATAACAACGAACAAGTTGGAGCTTGGAAATGGAAGTTTCATGGATTGGGCATACTATCTAAATTTCAAATTATTTGGCCAAAGGCTGTTAATTGTTAAAAGCACTTCGGAGCCCACTTCTGAAAAAGAAGGGTGGCTAAGTCTGCTCTTTGTGGTTTTCCTATAATTATTTATACTAACTTGGTACCCAAGGATATCCATATATGATCCACTGCATACTTAGAGCAAATTCTGAAAGCAGAATTTATCATTTATGAAGTTCCTGAACAGAACCAATTTCTTTTAGAAGGAGACAGATAACTGGACAGATTTTCTTAAGTTGACAATTTTTGCTATGTGCTCATCAGTAGCGTCTGTACATAGAAAATGATATTTGAGTTCCCAAGGAAGAGCCGTTTACTCCAACTGCAGGTTGCACATCTTCATGTGAAATAGATTTGTATGTTATTAAACTGATAGTACTAATAGATCTTTTAAGAAATCAAGCTTGAATGTACTATGAAGTCACTTTAGTCCAAAATGGAAACTAATATGGAACTAGTTAAATATATTTATTAGACCCAATTTGGTCATCTCAGTATTACATTCTATAAATAAGGTGGATCTCCAGATGTTGCTGAATTCTCAGCATCTCCACATTGCCCAGCAAATTATGCCATGCTGAGGGTCACATTTAAGCAGTAACTGAACAGACACAACTTCCTCATCCCAGCTTTTAAAATTTCATCTTGCAAAAGGGTTCAGATTCATATCTACCCACATTCAACAATGCCAGTCTCAGGGGATTCCAAACAGTTCACATGACCTTGCATCCAATACCATGTGTTATTTGTTGAAAACAAGCTCTATTTTCTTTCTTTCTTTCTTTCTTTCTTTCTTTCTTTCTTTCTTTCTTTCTTTCTTTCTTTCTTTCTTTCTTTCT